AGACGAGCCTATGCGCTGTTGCCAAGAAATGATTTCCCATGTATAACAATGGTTTTTCCTAAGGTGTATAAAACAATATCTCTTTTAAGATGTGCCATGCATATTGGTATTTAACCTATAAAGAGTAGTGGGAACATCTTATTGACAGGTTATATGGATGCTAAAAGTGTGGTGAACTGGTGAACAAGGCATATTTTTTGGCGTTATATGATGCTATATGCGCGGTGTTGCTATGAACAAGAAGTTTCGATTACGAGCATGATGACACTATAAACACAAGAGACCAGTGACTCGCAGTGGAGGATCTTGATTGAACAATTCTAAAAAAACTAAAAACCTAACCATGAAGGCATGACATAATGAGCGCCCCGTTAGGACCCTTATTTCAATATTCAATCGCTCCGAAATTAACCTTGATGCTGCATTTGCGTGGATGGTATGCGAATAAAGATGTCGAATATTATCGATTTCTGTATATGTACTTGAAAGCAGAATTTCGAATATTGGGCGACTATACTTGCGCAACCATGCCATACAGCAAAATACATCCGATTTTAAAGCTCATGCCTCATACAGTTGTAGTCTCATATTAAATAAGTAACAGATCCAATAACTGTACCATGTGTGCAGCTTAACTTTCCTCAAGAAAATTGCATACTGCACAAGCTGACCGCTAATGCAGATGCACTCTGATATAAATGGATAATATAGGACAATTGTTTTCATTTTCTTTTTGAGAATACTTCAAAACAAATTTTACCACAAACTGTCGACATTGTCCACTAGTAAACCCTATTTCCCAAGTATTCATGTCATCTTACAGTCTAGGTAGTTTCAGTTTGCAAATAGTTTATTCCACGTTTGCATGCTATGATCGCTATTCGATGACGTTTAAGCAACACATACAGCTACAAAACGAGTTCACAATAAGTGTACAACAGCTTGTATGTGCTAAGTTAACATCTTGTAGAACAACGAAATGTCACTTTCTAAGATTCGTAATACTCGTGCGGGTACGGAAAACAGGGAATCAAAGTAATCATTTCGTGCTCAAATAAGTAAATAGTTACTTTTGGTCTGAAGACACCCTAGCTAGTAAGCATACATAAATCTGCTCATAGAGAGAATTTGCATTTTAGGCCAGGAAATAGTTTTTTTCCTACAGTTTTAGCGTCAGTATTTTTTTGAGGTATCGTCAGATTATTGCTTCCTACTGATAAGTTCAAATTGGCGTCCTGTTAGGGCAGGAGCATTTGCCGCCATTTTGGTAAACGCTATCGATAGAAAGTCTAGGAAACTATCGATCCTATGTAAAAAAAGACTAAAAACAATTATGTAGGTAATTAAATTCTTTTATCGTTTTGCTTCTATAAAAATTTGTCATATAGTTTGTGCCGCGTGGCATACTCCGCACTCTACGCACGTTGTCCACGTGTCATCATACATGTTTTCACACAGGGATGTCTTTATCTATGATCAATTTTAAAGCGAACCAATTTGTTTTTTCGTCACGCGTAAGTATGGAAAATGTAAAGTTTTGTATAATTCATGCAGTCATTTTGTAACTACGTAGTCTAAGCACTCGTTGGGACGATTTTAATGGAAATGAAGTGAAGACATAAACCAGCATTATCTACTACATCTCCTGTCCCGATAAGATCCGTGCAACAATTACTAAAATTACTTACTGACAAAATCGCCAATAGACAGACTGATGGGAGTTAGTCACTTTTAATCTTCATAATGAGAACACCACAAAATATTACATTTCCCGTACTTTTACATGGCAGTAAAAAATGGATTCACTTCAAAATTGTATCCTTGATCATAGATAATGATTATGAAGTTATCTCCACTTGAAATAATATATGCGCATACTCATTGTCCATGTGGACAACGTATGTTGGGTGTGGAGTATGTAAGGCGCCAAAAAACCTTTTTTGTAGCAAATTTTATTCTCTACAAAAAATGTAGTGTTTCGAACTTTAAGAATCTTAGTTTAGCCATTATAAGGGGAAATATCACATGTACCTTTACCTTTCAGTTTCTCGTAATAATTTTTTATAGAAACAAAATCATCGATAGTTTTCGAGATTTCGTCGAAACAGCGGCAAAGCCCATCATGCCGTTTGCTTGTAACGAGAAATGAGCGTATAGCATATCTGGAATATATTCTCCAGCATAGTGATGCTAATCCTTGATGGAAAACCTCGAAACATCTGAATGCATGTGTTAGTAGTTATACATCCCTTCCTTCAAAGTTTTCTGATCACAAAATTATACTCTTTTATAGACGATTACCAATTGTGATGAAAAAATAAATTTTTATAGCAACAACTTACAACTTACTTTTTGATTTCGTTTAATTACTATAGAGAAGGTTAACAAGTATATTATATTAATACTGATTCTTTTGGTCTTGATAACATGAATCGAAAGATGCTGAAAATTTGTAGTTCATTTATCGATGTTCGTCATATTATCTGTTGTATAGAAAATTAATTTTTCTATGGAAGATTGCTTTAGGAGCACCGATTCCAAAAAAGGCTAAACCAGACAGTCTTTCTGATCGTATTTAGCTGCCCACAGTATTTCAAATTTTTGAAATGCTCATGTATTCACAAATTAATGAATATTTTACGGTGAATCAACTTTTAGCCGAATAAAGTGTGAATTCTGTTCTGGTAAAAAGACTGAAATAGCCTTAGTCCCTGTAACTAATGATATTTTAACAGCGCGTGATCAGGGTTTAAACTGTTACTTTGTATGAAGCTTAGATACTATGGTTTTAGCCAAGGCAATTTTTTTTTTAACTTCTCATAAAATATTTCTGAAAATGGATCTCATCCTAATAATATCGAAATTTTATCTGGTGTTTCGCAAGGCTCCATCTTCGGTCCTCTTTTCTTTATAATTTACAATGCAGATATACTGAGTGACAAAATAAGGTACATATCGATTTATCTTGCCATGAGCAAGTGATAAAATGGTCAGGTTAACTTTTGTTAACTTTTTGTGGTGGCTGCGTGTATTGTTTGGTGATACAGAAGCATTCAGTTTTCGTACATTTACGGTGTCGGTTAAATGTTAAATTTCGTGTAGCTTTTTGAGAAGCCTTTTTCTGATTGCTCAAAATGCCTAGAGTGCGTAGAATTCGCCAGGTGCCCAGCTAAGTGACAGAGGGGTCGAATTGTCGGGTTGCGTGAAGCCGGTCTATCGATAAGAGAATTAGGATTAAAACACTTTCAGTCACATAATTTACAACCGAATTCAACTAAAACCAAAATTTTATTTCTTGGTTCAAAACCGATTAATTTAATATAAAATAGTGTGAGACTCCAGCTTGACGGTGCTCTTGTTGTAGTCAGCGATTATACTAGAAATTTGGAGCTTATTATTGATAGCATTTTGCGTTTTTCTGAGCATGTAAAAACACTCATAAGTAAGGCTTAAGCATCATTGAAGCTAATTTATAGCAACTTGATCTTAAAATGAAGAGGACATTGTGTGAACTAGTTTTGAGTCATTTTAGTATCGTAATTTTATATATGGTTGTCCTTGTTTAGACAATATTATCGAAAAGATCCAGAATAGCTGCTGCAGGTTAGTGTATGCGACTAAGAAGTATGATCACATTTCATATAAAATCAACTAGTGTCATTGGTTTTAAACATGGAAATCTTCATTCAAATACATTCACTCATCAACTTTTGAATAACATCTACTCTTGTAATTCTCTATGCGCTAATTTTTCAACCTGCTCTTCAGCTCATTTGGCCTTCACTATGCCTCAACATCGCCTATTTTGTTCTGTAAGATCTTTCGTCTATAATGTTATCAGGACATACAATTTGCTGTCATTAATTAAAAGTCAATAAAATTAAATATAAATTAAAAAGAAGTTACTCGATGGACAGTGAAAATTATGACAAGGCTTCACCATTCATTTTCCACTCATATACTTTTTTTTCAGTCATATTAGGAACCTACTTCTTCAACCAGACTAATTACATATTTATGTATATTCCATCGTTTGCTTACTTTTTGTGTAATATTTATCTTCTATCTTGAATTTAGCTTATAGATCGTTTATCATACTGGAAAAATCAAATTTGTTGACCGCTAGAGTTCAATGTGTACGAGAGGCGTGTATCAACACATGTTAAAAAAGAGATAGTTACACCAGAAAATTTTCGCACAGGCCTCTACAATAGGTTCGAACATTTATTTTGTTTTTATTTAGATCAAAATTCTTTATTTCACTGATGTGACTTAAGTGTTGTAATTTATTTTAGAATTGTGTTTGATTTCCACCAATGGTGATAAAATCAACACATCCTGAGTTATACCATTACCCAATACAAATTACCACTGCCCAAGTGTATGCAGGTGAAAACCATTGAAGCTCTAGATGGGTACTGACCTAAACAGCTTATCTATGATCATGGAAGTGGAAACCCTGCGGTTTTGCCAAGCGAACCAATGTTGCAATGGTGCAGAATTTGTGGCGAACATGACCTTTCATTTCGACATAAAATGGAGCGTTATTAGGAGCGATCCGGAATCGATAACAATTATTTACGCGTAGGGATTAACCTAACGCATATTTTCAGCATGCAACTAATTCAAGGAACTGGTGTAACGTATTGGCAACGGTCAAATTTGGTTCTCAGTGAACAAAAATATATTTTTTCTCATCCCTCAGAGTGAACTCGCTGGTGGTTGAGTAGCCTGCGGTTAGACTTTGCTACCAGTCTACCTGATTTTCTATTTATTTGTTACTTTACTTTTTTATCAACTCAATAGGAATCAATAATCTAACGATGCCGCCAAAAACATTCACTTTCGTCAATACTTATTTATACATACTCTTTGTATGTGTGATGGATGTAAGAAAGTGATATCAGTCGTTTTCCTCAGACTCCGTGAATAGACATAGTGAGGAAGACAAACAGCGATGTACCGAGATCACTTTATACCTTTCCGATACTTTATTTCAGGTGAGAATTTGGCAGATGCAGCAATCTTCGAAGTATACGAAGAGACAAGCGTTATGTCAGAATTTGACTCTATAGTGACGTTTCGACAGGCGCACAACAGAATGTTCGGCTGTTCTGACATTTACGTCATCATCAGCCTAAATGCTGTCACTGAAGATATCCACAAGTGTGATCGAGAAATTGAAAACGCACAATGGATGGACATCGACGAATTTATGAACCACAGTGTGGTGATCGAAATGAATCAAGTTATTCTAAAGAAATATATGGAGTACAGAAAGAACAATGTGAAGATAGACTGCATTCACGGATTTCATAAACTACTCAATATACCTTACACGCTTTATTCTGTGGCAATAGGTGATGAGAAAAAATATGACTAACTTATGTTACATCGCAAAAAATTGTACGATGGATGTCTTTTAAGTTTTGCATATGGAAATAAAACAACACGGTAGGTAGTTTTAAATGAGTTTATTGTTTTTTGAAGTATTCTCCACGAAGATTAATACACATCTGCATGCGCTCGAACCAATTATTCCACTCGTTTGCTGGCAGATCCAAAACGGCATTTTTGAATGCGTCAACTGCTTCTTCTGGTGACTGGAACCCTTGACCACGCAGTCTGTTTTTAATTTTCGGGAAAGTAAAGAAATCGTTAGGACTTAGATCGGGACTATATGGAGAATGGACCAATAATTCCACGTTTTCTTCCGTTAAATACTGCCTTGTTTTTTGGGCTGTGTGCGAGCTTGCATTGTCTGGGTGGAGGATGATTCTTCTTTCGGGGTTGATTTTTCGAACCTCGGTGATGACTTTTGGCAAACACATGGTGGTATACCAATCCGCAGTAACAGTTCTTTGCTCATTAAGAGGAATTGTTGCAATATGACCCGCTTTTGACACAAATGTCGCGACCATCTTTTTCGAAACACTTCGAGAACGGATGACTTTTGTTGGCTTTTCATCACCTTGGAACACCGAAACAACCGACTGTCGTTTAATTTATGGTTCATAACAGTAAATCCACGATTCATCACCACTAACAATGATGTACACATTTTATGAGTTTGCGGAATTGAAACGGTCAAGCGTTTTTTGATACCAATTAACCCTGGCTGCTTTCTGCTCTTCAGTCAACAGGTGGTGGGGTATCCAACGAGAAACTAATTTTCTTACTCCTAATTCTTCATGTAACATTTTTTGAATTGAGGTCTTTGAGATCTTCAAGGACGCCTTAATAGTCCGACATGTCATATGTCTATCTTCAATGATGAGTTTGCGCACAGCATCGACGTTTTCCTGGGTGACCTTTGGTGCACCCACACTGGGATCGTCGCTAAGACTCGCCCGTCCACGTTTGAATTCTCCATAGCAACGGGAAATTGTCGACTAATGTGGCGCTTCGTTGCCGAAAACAGACAGCAACTCAGCAAGGCATTCTTGTTGCGATAATTGTCTCTGAAAGTTGTAATAAATTATGGCGCGAAAATTTGGTCGGTTGAGTTCCATTTTTCTAATGACTTGGTGACACTTGAAAATTCACTGTAGTGAGAACGCGTTCTTTACCCCACGAATGTCGGACAGATCGTTCTTGGGAGATTTTGGGAGTTTGGGTGTTTTGAGTAACTTCTTCACTCCACCAATGTTCGAAAGATCGTTCTTGGGGGATTTTGGGACCTTGGGTGTTTTGAGTAACTTCTTCACTCCACCAATGTTCGACAGATCATTCTTGGGAGACTTTTGTACTCTAGGAGTTTGAAACAGTTTCTTTACTCCACGAACGTCCGACAAATCGTTCTCGGGAGATTTTGAAACTTTGGGTGTTTTAAGTAGGTTCTTCACTCCACGAAGATCATGTATGCTTGAATCTGCCATTGATCTTCTCGAACTTGAATCAAGCTTTTCATTATTTCCACTGCCTGTTTTTAATACTCGTATTAAGCTCATCTCAAGTTGGTTGATGTCAGGCGATGACTTCCTCGATTGAACGGTTTCGCAAGTACCAGATTCACAAAGAGGTGATGCAGACTTTTGGCTTAGTGAACTTGTTCTAGTATGATTGGGAATCTCATAATCTGCTACCACACTTGATCTTCTTGCATTACGTGGGAAGGAATCACTATTTTTCAGAGATTTTCTGGAAGCACTTTGTTTTCTAGACAATGATTCTGTTACATCTGCTTCAACAGTGCCTTCATCATATCGGAAATCACTCGGTGCTTCCAATAAGTTGTCGACTAGATCACAGATTTTAATTACATCAGGGCTCTGATCACTACTTGATGTTTTGAGACTTATGAGAGACCCACTGACTCCTGACAGATCAATACTAATATAATCAGCTGGATACTGATATGCGCTTGACCGTCTCGTGGACCTATTGATTTCTAAATCGTCACCGCCTGCTCGAGTATTCGATTTTGAGCTTCTCAATGACCAACTTCTCCTTTTAATCTCAATATCAGGCGAATCCAATTCTTGAGAAGTTGACGAAGATTTTCTGGTTTTGCTGACTTCTTGAAGGTCATCGTCGTACTGATCAATGACTGATTTATCTTTTTCTACATCGAATGTTTCAGCGGAGTTCCGATGTTTAGATGTTGACAGTGACCTTTTGGAAGTATTAGCTGTAGATCTTGTGGCAGCTGCGTTCAAGTCTGGGAGGCTTGCATACGTCTTTAGAGTCTCCACTGCATTCTTCACTAGGAGAGAGTTGATTCCTCTAGGTGATAAAATGGAGTTCTTGGGTCCATTGCCATTTAGGAACACATTTTTTAGTGTTCTTTTTCCGCTAGTATTTAACAAGCCCTTACGTGATTGATCTACTCGAACCGTTTTCGATAGATCTAGTAATTCATATTCAGACGAATCAAATCGGCTTGATGCTCGAGACAATCTTTTGGTCTTATCGGCGTCTACAGTTTCGTTTGGAATTGAGCTTGCTAAAACCTTATTAGTTCTTGTAGAATAATTTTGAGCGTTTTCCGTCACAGATGTCTTGGATGCACGTGTTTGTAATTCACTGCTAGGCGTTTTTACTGCGCTTAGATCAAGAATTTCATATTCAAGTTTTTTCATTGATCTCGGCGTAGACATCGATCTCTTCATAGCATCTAGCGGAGTCCTGGTAAAATTCGTAGACAGTCTGGGAGACTTTATAGCGTTGGCATTTTCAGTCAATTTCAGAGTTCTACTCGATCTAGAAGAATCAGTTACTATTGTTTGATCCATAGAATCCAGGATTGTGTCATTCTTCGGTGACTTGTTTTGAGCCGACATAAAATTTTTTATTCCGAATATATCAGAAGGACTTGTGCGCCTGCGCATCAGCTGTTTCAATCCGACAAATTTGGAAAGATTTTCAGAAACATTCAGTTTTGGAGATCCTTTGACCGTTTTGGGAGATTGTTGCAATCTTTTTAATTTTGCCGAGGCTGGTGAGCCGATCAGTAATGATTTGTTCCTTATGAAGTGACTTGAGGCCGAGGTAGTGGACTTGACGAAATTGCTAGTCGAAGGTTTGGGAGATTTGTCTAACAGATCTTCTCGAAGTCCGTTCTCCAAGAGGAAACTACATTTGACGATTGGTTCCGGACCATCGAGATTGTCCACAGCGATAGTTTTATTGTGCCTGGATAGTCGTACAGACTTCATTTGCCTTACTCGCCGTTCAGACCAGACCGTTGAGAATGGTTGATTCGCAAAAGAAGCAATTGTCAGATCAGAAAGCCTATGCTCATGGTCTGTTTGGTCTTGAGATATTTCAGGCCAATCTTCAGTTGAGTTGAAAGACTCGACACTTTCTTCTACCATCTGAAAGAAGAATATAGTCATCTGATCATTAGGATTTTGTTTTAAATGTATGACGTCCTTTAAACGTCAGCCTAGATTTCTGATTCTTTTTAGTAAAGAGAAACTCAAATGATTACCTCAACCTCAGAAGCGTCTTCAACTGAGTACGTTATCGTCCTCCTTTTCTTCACAGAGCTTTGAGAAGCTATGCTAGAATTCCTGCCCCTTTTATTGTTGATATTCTGCTCGCTTTCTTCAACAGCAGGCTCTTCTTTCTTGCCGGATCTCCTCGTTCTAGACTGTAGACTGAAAAATAGTGATTCCTTCCCACGTAATGCAAGAAGATCAAGTGTGGTAGCAGATTATGAGATTCCCAATCATACTAGAACAAGTTCACTAAGCCAAAAGTCTGCATCTCGAGCATCAAGCCGATTTGATTCGTCTGAATATGAATTACTAGATCTATCGAAAACGGTTCGAGTAGATCAATCACGTAAGGGCTTGTTAAATACTAGCGGAAAAAGAACACTAAAAAATGTGTTCCTAAATGGCAATGGACCCAAGAACTCCATTTTATCACCTAGAGGAATCAACTCTCTCCTAGTGAAGAATGCAGTGGAGACTCGTAAAGACGTATGCAAGCCTCCCAGACTTGAACGCAGCTGCCACAAGATCTACAGCTAATACTTCCAAAAGGTCACTGTCAACATCTAAACATCGGAACTCCGCTGAAACTAGTTTGATAAATATAAATAATCCAAGAGTTTCCATGTCATTTTCAAGGAGGCTGACAAAAACACCAACTGCTGGTGTCGTAACACCTCTTTGTGAATCTGGTGCTTGGGAAACCGTTCAATCGAGGAAGTCATCGCCTGACATCAACCAACTTGAGATGAGCTTAATACGAGTATTAAAAACAGGCAGTGGAAATAATGAAAAGCTTGTATCAAGTGTGTTAACAGATGAGATTCCCGATTATACTAGAACAAGAACAAGTTCACTAAGCCAAAAGTCTGCATCACCTCTTTGTGAATCTGGTACTTGCGAAACCGTTCAATCGAGGAAGTCATCGCCTGACATCAACCAACTTGGGATGAGCTTAATACGAGTATTAAAAACAGGCAGTGGAAATAATGAAAAGCTTGATTCAAGTTCGAGAAGATCAATGGCAGATTCAAGCATACATGATCTTCGTGGAGTGAAGAACCTACTTAAAACACCCAAAGTTTCAAAATCTCCCGAGAACGATTTGTCGGACGTTCGTGGAGTAAAGAAACTGTTTCAAACTCCTAGAGTACAAAAGTCTCCCAAGAATGATCTGTCGAACATTGGTGGAGTGAAGAAGTTACTCAATTTATTCTTATTGAGTATCTATTTAGCTAAACTTCGCCCGATACTATGTAACTTTATAAATAAAGACGATTTATTATTATTATTATTGGCGAGAAAATATTAATCGCGAATAACTTCGAAAATGAGATATCATGTCTTTAGATGTTGTATGATATCTACATCATACATCATATATGTGTTTACAAATTAATTATTTCTTGCTATTAAAATCATATTTATCTAATAGACAACCGTTTGTAAAGGGTGTCCCAAAATTAACGGAAGATTTGAATTAAATAGAAAATGCCATTTTTAGTCTTTTAATAGTTATATTTTTATTGACTCATAAAGTACATAGGATAGGGTTATGTATGGAATAACACATCGGACAAATGGCCTCCACGGCTTTGCATGCACATGCGCACTCTTTTGTCGAAATTTTCCATGACCCTTCTGCATAAATGTGGCTGAATTTCGTTGATGCAGCGTTGAATCTCCTCCTTTAATGCACGGGTGGTTGTGGGCTTGTTGACATAGACTTGTGATTTCAAATAACCCCATAAAAAGAAGTCTAATGGTGTTAAATCACACGATCTAGGAGGCCAATTTTGATCACCGAAACGAGAGAGTACACGACCGGGAAATGTCTCATGCAGTAATTGAATTGTTTCACGGGCTGTATGACATGTGGCACCGTCTTGTTGAAACCACATATTGGGTACATCAATATCATTCAATTTTGGCAGAAAGAACTGTGTAATCATGTCGCGATATCGAGCACCAGTAACAGTCACTGCTTGACCAGCATCATTTTCAAAAAAATATGGCCCAATTATGCCTCCAGCCCAAAATCCACACCAGACAGTCACGCGTTGTGGGTGCATTTCTTTTTCGACAATCACACGTGGGTTCTCCGAACCCCAAATGCGGCAATTTTGGCGATTGACAAAGCCATCAAGATGAAAATGTGCTTCATCGATTAGGATGATTTTGCTTGAAAAATCAGGGTCCATTTGTTGATGTTCAATAATCCATTCAACAAACTCTCTTCTCTCTGCATGGTCATTAAGCTTCAATTGTTGTGTTAATTGAAGTTTGTAAGCATGAAGACACAGATCTTTGGTGAGTATACGCTGTAGAGAGGTTCTTGACATTTGCAATTCTTGTCCACGACGTCGAATTGAGGTTCCTGGATTGTCCGCAACACTCTCACGCACTGCTTCGATATTCACATTTGAACGGCTTGTTTTTGGACGACCAGTGTGTTTGGCGTCTCCAACGGATCCAGTCTCCATGAATTTTTCAATTAATCTCTTCACAGTTGACGAAGTTAAAACACTATTCCGGCCATATTTTGTATGAAATTTTCGAACTGCAGCCGCCAAGCTTTCACTATTTTTGAAATATTCTTTAATAATGAAGACACGTTGTTCTATCGTGTAACGCTCCATTTTTCATAACCCTATACTGTTAGCTGTCAAATTGCTTTTTTTCAGGGTTGCCAACACTTCACTGCACAAATGGCGGCAAATTCAAATCTTGCGTTAATTTTGGGACACCCTATATATGATATAACAAAGATTACTGTTTTCGACCCGTCAAACCACTCAAATGATCTTTGACATGCAATTAGGTCGCACTCTCCAGAGATCCGTTTGACTCAAACACTGGTTCAGTTATAACTCAACGACCTCATCTCCTGTGTATCAATGCGATCCACAGCTTTGTGGCGGTCGTTACCTTGAATGTAGGTATTCAGAGTGCCAAGACATTCTCTGCCGATGAGCTGGAGTGAAGACGAACAGCGTCTTCGTCTCAGACGAGTAATCTGGAGGCAATCACTGCATGGGGACTCCACAATCTGATACAGTTTAATGCTTCCAAAACACAGTACTGTGTCTTGACAAAAATCTCATGCACAGATACGACCTAATTAGTGTCAAATATTATTTGAGTGCTTTAATAGGCGCAATAAAGAATTTTAAGGAACGAGATATTACTCAGTTTTATTCATCACCTTTGGTCTTTGATATCTCTAAGACTGCCACTTAAAAAAATTATCCCATCTAGACATCATAATCTACAACATACTATAAATTCAGCCAACTCCACTGTCACGTTTTTGTGGTCCTCTTTCTAGATCGCAACGTTGTCAGTTGAGTGGGGACTATGAACTAATAATTGTATAGGCCACTTGACTCAATTGACCCATTTAATTTTTTTGTTATGCATGTTCGTAACTATGTTCTCAAAGGGGTTGAATTGTGGCGAACGTAATTCTGTATGAACAGATGTCAGTTTCCCACACTTTTGGGTTTCATTTCTGGGTGTAGTAGTAAGAATTTTGACCTTGCCTATTCATACATTTTGAAATCGGGCATCTACACTTATTAGAATCAGATAACCTATACATTCATTTTTTTACAATGCGTTTAGCCACCGCGACTATACCTAATAAATAAAATAAAAATATCTCTACAGGAGAAACACAATCAAGATGTACCGGCTCTCCCTACTCTGCATCTTCACAATAGCTATATCCTGGGCTCAACAGCCTCTTGAACCACCCGTCACAAGCTACGACTACATCGTGAAATTCACTATCAACATGGACGAAAACAAAGTTCCATATTACATCGTAAATGGAATTTACAACAACCGATTTGAAGGAAACGTAACTGTCGATGACGTCATACAGCTGTACAGGATTAGGCAGTTGTCTCTGGACCAAGCAAAGCTGGTGCTGAATTCGATGGATGTTCCGACTGACACGGTGTTTTCAGGGGATACGTTCGAAACTGTTTTGAAAGACTTGAGGTTGGACTTTTACTACGTTCTACAGCAATGTCTTTTTGCTTTCGTTTGGTACTTCTGGTGAACCGTTAAGGAAATTCTTGGAAACTTTAGGTGGGTAACAATTATTTCTCACAAGGGCTGACAACACACTATACCGCCCACTAACAATGCATGCACCGCAGGGGTGTTACGTAACTTGAAGAGTGACATTATACAGGGTGTTTCAGTTTATTGTTGCATAACTTTAAGATTCGATAGAACTTTTAAAATTAATGCATAAAGTCTATATAAACATGGGTCGAAAAATGCGTGGCTTCCGAAATTTAGGGTGTTTAAATTTACTTTCTAAAATAGTTTTTTTTAAATATTTCGAACAATATTTGATGTATAACAGTGAAAATTGGTATGCAAGGGTTTTTTGGTACGACAAAACGAACCATGGCATAGTTTTACTGTAGCCGCTAGAGGGCGTTCTCTACTGTACCTGTAGTGTATTAAAATGACCGAACATTTTTTCTTGGTGCAATTTTTTGCTTTTTGAATAAAAAAACTGATTTTTCGCACTTTTCAACATAAGAAAGGTTTCTTGTGAATTTTCGTTATAGTTAGCCGTTTTTGAGATATTTTGATTTTTAAGGTTCGATGCATTTTTAATTGTTTATGATAAAATAACGTTAAAAAGTCAGTATCTCGATAATTTTTAGAAGTAGGCTGTGCCTGCAAATATTTTTGAAATTGAAAGCAGAATAAGGTTAAACGTCAATTAGTTGACAGTTAGTTTTGTTGTCTGTTGAAACCTGAAACGTTTTTTTGCAATTGTGAATGCACGAAATTTAGTTTCTTTTAGCTGTTTTCTTTTTGTAAGATTCATAAAAATGCCATTTTTATTCTCCAATCAAGAGTTAGCGGATATTCATTTTGTGTATGGCTTTGTAAATGGAAACGCAGCAGAAGCAGCCAGAGAATACGCACGAAGATTTCCAAACAGACGACATCGAACTCGCTCAGTATTTGTAAGAGTGCATCGCCAAATAATTGAAAATGGTTTTGGAAATCTCCAAAGGGATTAAAACATAAATGTTCGTCAGCGCAGATTTACCCGTATGATTCTGCGTGAGTTTGCTAGAGATCCGACCACAAGTGTTGGGAGAGTTTCTGGTGCCTTGGGAATTTCAGCACGCCATGTTCACCGTGTTATTAGAAATGACCATAGACGTCCTTACCATTTGCAACCTATGCAAGGACTACAGCCAGGGGACGGAGAACGAAGAATCACTTTTTGTCAGT